CAGTACTGGTTTAGACCCAAGTCTGGCTGCTCTACATCTGAAAGAGGAAGTGTGTGTTTGTGTGGGGGGGGGGGACCTGCTGTGCCAATCTGTTCTCATTAGCGTTTACTCGCCCCCTCCAAACATGTAACGACATGCACGTCAACTGCTGGAGTCAGGAGCATATAGCGGTTTGTTTCGCAAGAGGCCTGTGGCTTCACGTAACCCATCCCAGCTCAGTCCAGCTACCTCATCTGAGATCATCATTGAGATCTTTTTGGACTTGTCATCCTTGGATCATCAGCCGTGGCGCCCGCTCGAGAGATCACATGGAGATATTTGAGGAGCAGGGTCCCTCTAGGAATTTGCGTAGTTGCGATCTCAAGAATTAACACAAATTTATGATCCCCGCTAAATTCCCACCAAAAAAATTGTCAAACTCGAGGAATGCACAAAAATTCAGACAAGAGACACTTTTGTTAGCCAATAAATAAATATAAGTCAGGCCACAATCTCCACAAACAAGCTTTCCCAACTATGCTGGGAAGGACTGTTTCCATAAAACATGGCTTTTTCACGCAGCACTTGCTATCACGCTCAACAAGCTCTTTAAATTGAACATTTTAAAAGTTACAGAAACTGAACCATCTCTTATCTAATACCCAAAACCAATCATTTGGTTTATGGAGCTTACAGACAGCCCTATATGGCATTCTAAGAAGTACTGTGGTTACTGTATGGACTTTATTTGGGTGAAAAGAAAGTTATAGAAGTCTAAGCAGCTAAGATTCTTCAGGATTTGAGTGGAACATTACTGCATACTTCTCTCATCAGTAAGTTAAGTTGACATTTATTGCACAATAACACCAAAATGGTTGCACATTTTTTCAGCTGTATTGGAAAAACTGTTGAAATTCAGCCATTCTGGACCAACTAATTACAAAAACACCTCTGAAAATCCTGGAAGGACTGAATCTCAACAGTACCTGCGAACCGTGCTGCATGCAGTCAGATATAATCTTCTAACTGCTTACCTTGGAGCTCAATACTATTTGACCTTTTGACCTGCGGAGTTGGCAGTCATCAGTGACCATTCAGGAATCGCCAGTGTTTCTTTTGATACAACCTGCCTTCTTCTGATTCTTAAAATATCCCCAACCTCGCAGAATGTCTTTTGAGAAGCTGTGATCTGCCACGTTCCATATTAACATATTGCTGTCAGTCAGGGCCCTCTCCTCCTCCTCCTCCTCCTGCACATCAGACCGTCCTGTTAATTGTGTCGGTTACCTTGCATGCTCCTAAATTCTAGCTCGGCGAATCTCTCACCGAGGGGTCGACCGGACCCGTCGATCGTTCACAGAAACGCACCGGAGTACAGAAGGGTCCGAATGATGTGAGCGAAATAACATTTCCTCTCTCACACGTCCATCGTCCATATGCAACACAAACAAACACAACGTCTCGTTTCATATTCGCTTAACAACAATACTCATATTCCGTTTGGTTTGCAAACACGAGCCTGATATGAAAACGTGTGTGGGGATATACACCGAGGTGCTCTGTCCGTGGAGGACGCCATTACGCACAGTCCTAGGTCCGAAATGCAAATATTATTATGGTGCGTGTGCGCCTTGACAGCTCTCGGACCTGGGACATCACCATCACTAACGCATCGGTCGGAGTAGAGAAACGTGTATATTTACAGACGGTCGCGGTGTGGAGCGGATCCTTCCCTTTGCACCGGAGCTCCCTCGGACCTACAGCCAGCCATTTTAGAGCCGAGGGTCCGAGACACCGAGAGCGCAACCCGGCAGCTTTAGGACAAACTTTCCCGGCGCGCTGTCATTTCCTTCAGCCCTGCTGCCAGAGCCGGCGTAGGACGCACCGCACACCCTTTCGATACATTTAAAACTGTATTTAAAACTATACTCCACCCATAGACTCGCTGCATAGGGACTGGCTTACCCGTGCTGAGGATATTTCCGGAGGACCAAATATGACTGTGCAGTGTAAAGGGTGATGCTGCGAATGCCGAGGGAGGGAGGGGTCAAGGGGAGTTGCTATGGTGTCGCAGCCTACCGGGTCCGACCAGTAGCCATATTCAGCCTATGAGTACGGTTGAACCTGCAGCCTGCAAAGAAAGACTCTCTGTGCGCCTGAGAGTCAGAGAGACGGGGAGCAAAGCAAGAGAGGGATAACGAGGATGAAGAGAAATGGACTTGAACTCACACAGTAGCACTTTGTGTGTCATAAAAAAAAGAAAGCCAGAGAGCAAAAAACATTTTGACATTACTTTATTCCAAATTTACACTTACAAGCCTCAAGACTTGATGCGTCACGCTCAACAGAGGAAGGAAAGATCACACAGTGAGATATGATATCACAGAGTCAAGCCATTATGAGTAAGGCTACATGGAGGAATCATCACAAGCATAACTGATATAGCATGTATTAATGCATTATATCTACATCATCATGAAGGCCTATGGATTGCATCTACAGTATGCATTGGCTCCAGCTGGATGAGGATGAAGGTAATAGCGACTGCAAACTGATAGGAAGCAGGAGAGAGTGACAAAGGCCATGGGCGCAGGATAGACAGCTTAGCCTGCGGATCCAAAAATATTTCAGATTCTAACAGACCATAATCATAGCATAGATAGTTGAAGCAAAGCTGCAGAGCGGGGAGGGACTACTCTGGGTGGTGGGTGTCGGTGTGTGTCAGGAGGTATGACACAGTTCAATGAGTGCTGGATGGGTCGAAGGTCGGATGTGCAAGTCGTCACTCCACATCACCGGACTCACATGCTTCAATCTCTGAGACCAGCCGGTGAGGGAAGAGTTTATACTGCAACCATGTGGGCTCTGAAAAACAAAGAGAAGGTGCATGAATATTGCAAAAGTCTCCAACTGTCCCCTCCTCATGTTCCTGTGCCTGGCATGCTGAAACTGATACAGATAAAGAATAGGAAGGCCTGTGTGGGTGGTCCAGGTTTATTACCAAGGTAGCAGGCTGGTGGCTGCAGCTGTCCGTCAAAGCAGGCCTGGGTTGCAGTGAAGGTGCACTGCTTGCGAGGATGTTTGCAGTAGAACGTCACATTTTCCCCGTGAGGAACCACGGCATCTGTAACGTCAAATGGCCAGCGCTTCACTCCGTCAATCACCACACGGCTTCGCTCAGCAGGGATGACACAGCGAGCTGTGAAAATGATCAACAAGGTGTAATACAAGCATCAAATGCAAACTCCTGTGTTGATTCCTGTATGTGCAATACTGTGTATTATGTGTTAATGTGAACTAACGTTTTTGCCATTACATAAGATTTTATGGACTTAAATGAATCCTTACTAAACTCTTTAAATGCATACATTATGTTTCTGATGTGGCCATTTGAAACAGTCCTCACCTCTGCAGTATGGGGGCGATGCACTCCAGCTGCCGTTTGACAGGCAGGTGACCTTCTGAGGTCCATCCAGCAGGAAGTTCTTTTTACAGAGGTAGTGGATGTCATAGCCAACATTATATTCAGTCTTCTGAACAGCCACCACATAGCCCTGCTCCACCTCTCGAGGAGGCTGGCAGTACACTTCTAAGAGAGTGAAAGGAAATGTGTCTGCTTATTCAGGAGATCCACTAATCTTTAACTCCAAAAACGGACAAAGAGCTTGAGCTTACAAATGCAACAATGCCTCTGTCTTTTCTTATCTTATCTTGTCTTTACTTTGTTTTAACAAAAGCCAGGGTCAGTCATAGTCCTCAAAGCGTGATACAAGAAGCATCCTGAATGTTCCTGACTGTGGAACAGGCCATGTAATGCCAGGTTTGACCACAAGATGGCAGAAAAGCACTGCGAAATAGATCAGTAGCTATTTTAAAGACATACTTAACGGGGCTGTGTTTCTGTGTGTTTCTGTCTCCTTCCTTGATTCACTCTTTTTTTATATACACACATGAACACATTCATACAACAATATAATGTACATCCCCACAAAATAAACACACAAATCTCTCCAAGTCCAGTCGTTCACACAGCGAACCACTGCTCCATCTTTGGAGCCTTGAAAAATGCATGAGGATGAAGCAACATACATGCACACATGGCCAGTGCAAGATGCAGCACACTACTGCACACTTACCTTTACAGAGGGGGTGAGGATACTGCCAGGTCTGATTATCCTGGCAGAAATTTACACTGCTCCCCACTATATCTACCCTGCAGGAGAAAAGAGAGATTGATGGAGACAGATGGCAGTGTGACATGTACAGTATTGACAGCTAAGGAGCATCATCTAAATAAAAGTGATGAAAAAAGGTGTAAATGATTCCTTTTTCCACTCTGTCTGTCTTTCAGAGTGTCTAAATGTTGTGTGCAGAGTTCTGGCTGACACATCCACTCAGGCTCATCTTATCCTGTGGATGAGTCAGTGTGTAAAGGGGAGTCAATACAAGATTAGACTGTAATGACCTAGTTAGCTCAATGGAGAGATCGTCAGCTGGGAGATCAAAATGAATTCCCTGCCATTCATCGCTCATCATCCGTCGTTTCCCAACACCTCTCCTGTAATCAAGCCTTCCCTCCACTCCCTCCCGCTTCTTCACACTCCATCCCCGTCTTCTCACTTCCTCCATTTCTACCTTCGCATCATTTCAGGTTTTCATAGCCTCTGCCTACGCACTCACAACCCGAACCTCCCATCGCCCCCCCTCTCTCTCACCCAGACAGGCAGCTGTAGCGGATGGAAGTTCCTACTGTAGCGTCGCCCTGGATGCTGAAGGTGTCCAAGACTTCTTCGGGCAGAGGGCAGGTTTCGGCAACGGCAGGTTCGGGTGACTGAACCTCTAAAGGTCAAAGAAGAACATAAGGTTACAGATTTATCATCAGATAAAAGTAGCAATGTCACACTGTAAAAATACTCCACCGCAAATAAAGCTGGATTAAAGACAAAAATACCCAAAGTCAGCAGAAAAACAGACAGACTAGGCTTCAGAAACAGAAAAGATGCATCTCCCCATAGCAGTGGTGAAATGGACCTGACTGCAGTAACTCAAGGACTGTGCTTAAGTACAGTTTTAAAGTACATATACTTTACATATTTCCAAATCATGCCACTTAATACTTCTACATTTCCTCACTTCTCCTACAGTTCTGATGCAAATATTTGACTTTTTACTCCACATAATTACTAGTTACTTTGCAGATTAACTTATATATTACTACCCAGTGGTATGAAGTGATTCCTTGTGGTCAGTACTTCTGTACTTGTACTCTACCTAAGGATATCTTAAAAGCTGGACTTTTAGTGGAGTACTTTTACACTGTAGTATTACTACTTCGCAGTGATGTGTGAGGTGTGTAAAACTCCTCAGAGAGAAATGCAGCCACACTCACTGTGCAACTAATGTGCATTGTGATTGTGAAGTAAACAAAACCTAGTATATTCAAACAATAACCCACGAGACTACAAAGAATATCAGTTTGTGACTGATGGATAAGGGTGTGATTTTACTGCTGTAAAGTAAAGAAGGAAAGAAGAATGAAAATTGTGAAAGAACATGAAAGAATGGATGGATAGAGGAAGAGTCATCTGTCCTGCTACCTTATGTGACTTGTATTAACCAAGGTTGGTATTTAGTTTGCCTACTGTACCCACAGAGGCGTTTCACAAAATGTCTTGTTCTATTTAGGTTGAAATAACCCTTCTTAGGTAATAAATCAAAGTTCGATGCAGGTGAAACACCGCCCCACACCTCTCCGAGCTCACAGCTATATCTGTGATTGTGTAACACCTGGCAATGTTCGTTCCTGGAAGTTTGAGTGCCTCACGCTCGTGGAAATATAAATATCAAGAGTGGTGCTTGGAGAGAGGCTGAAGCGACCCGGGCTCCATCAAGCGCTGGGTTTCGGAGCTGAACACAGCTTTGAAAGGCAGAGACCAGCTCTCTGCGTAATATTAAGAATGTAAGAGGACTTATTGGGCGATGGGTGATGAGTTATGGTCTGTTGGCATGTGGAGGTGAGATGCCTTGGTTATAGCCCGAGTTCTATGTGCTTTTCACATATCCTCGCCTTCTTCGCTCCTATTATCTGCTGACCACCCTACACCTACAGTCTCTCTACCAAAATGCTTAATGAAGCAGGGTATATCAAATTTCCATCTTTGAAAAAAAGACATTGAGTCAAACATATTTGATTACTACTGTTCCTTTGTCTTTGGATTTTATCGAACATGTATTCTTTGTTTTGCACCTTTGTAAACATCTTGTTTTCCATAGGTTTCCTGTCAGTATATAGATCCTCCCACTCTTTTGTTCATGTGTTTTTTTTTTTTTTCTTGTTCGTTTTTCTTGTTTTTTCTTTTTACCCAACCGGAAACACAGAAGGTTGAGACCTAAAGAGGGAATAGGTTGGTGGTTTGTGAACTCTGATTTTCTCCCGCAAACATGCAAACAGACGCATGCACGCAGAATAAACTACCTAGCCTGGAGCTGCATGCTTGTCCTTGGCTCCCATTGTAGAAAGAGACCTTATCAGAGGCCTCAGATGGAAGAGGATGAGAGGAGAAAGAGATGAGAGGAAAAGAGGATGAGAGAAGAGAGCAGAGGAGAGGAGAACAGGGAACCGAAAGGCCTGGAGCAGCATGAGCAAGAGAGCTCTCTGACTCTCCTGACTGTGATCTGTCGCCCACACACACACACACACACACACTCAGTAACACATGTGCAATCCGCCCTCCACACATACACATCTAATGTATACAGAAAAAATCTACCTCTCTACCTCTCTCTGATAAACACACACACACATACACACACACACTCACAGTAGACACACACTAGCTCACACTCACACTGTGTGCACGCAGCTCTGTGCCACTTTGACAGTGATCTGCCGCCCACTGCCTCTCAACAAGCATGAAGGAGCTCGACTCACACTCTAACACACATGCAAAGGACACACAATGCAAACGCTCTCACACGTTCAAAACCCACCTACCTTCTGCTCGTCTCTCAGCAGGAGGATACTATACGAGAAAGCTCATAATCGTATCCTTATTTCACATCTTTCATAAGATACAAACTCTCGAGGGTGAGACAGGGACCCAGCTGGGTTGAGGATTCCTAAGAAAGCATGTTTACTGTCGCTCCAGGTGTGTGATTAATGCAGCATGACTCTTAAGCTGAAAATGTATTGTTTTTTATCACAGCTTTCAGGTCGACACATGCAATAAGAAAAAAAAAACGTACAGGTGCTTTATGATGATGAGATGTGTCAAGATACTAAGAATTATTGATGGCTTTACTTCATGTACTGCTGTGCAGCCTTACAGCACAGCGGTAGAGGTAATAAGGCAGCACAGCAGTAGGACAAATTTTGCCTGTTGTAAGCCACCTATTCGGATTTATCATTTTTTTGTTCTATATTTAGACCGACAGAAAGTACAAATGTTTAACCACATGATTATCTCGGGGCACAATGGTACTTTGGTTGCAAATGAACTTGACTGATTGACTTAATCACTGCACAGCCCTTTGTGTTTTCTTTAAGAATTGACTTCAGCTGCTCAGACATTTGTTTAAATGTGTTAACAGCTCAGTTCTGTTCTGCTCTGTGGCCTACATAGGTGCATCTTTAATTAAAGCAGTCAGTTGTCAGTTTTAGGTAAATAAAGATGTTGCAGATGTGAAGCTTATAATGAACTTACAATCCTAGATTTTTACTGAAGCTGAGAAGTTGTGATTCATCTACATTTAATTTTAGGCTGTAATTTTGGGTTTTGTTGTATTGCTTTATGCCGCATGGTGTATAGTATATAGTATAGTTTATTTTGCCCAACCCTGAATACCACAGAAACAGTATAATTGTGTCTATGAGTTGTCTACAATGCAACCCATTACAATAACACCACAAACTATGGCCTCAATTCATAAACATGTATACAGTAACAGAAAACACAGGTTTCTGTGCTGTAGTGCACATACAAATAACACACACATATGTACATGTGCATTCATATGATCTTCATGCCCGCACATGTGTGTGTTCAAATGTGCTCTCCTCTTTAAACTTATCGACAGTTCAACAGTAAAATCTTCAGACAGCCAATATGAACAACTAAAGCTCTGGTTGCTATGGTGACGAGGAGAATAGGTCCCAGTTGTGCAATGTCTCAGTCGACACAATCACAGAGGGGTTTCATGCCTGAATATCTCTCTCTCTCTCTCTATCTCTGTGTGTCTGTCTTGCATGAACACAAAAAGAAAATAAAAGCTGTGTTTAACCCTTAACCACATCATTGACCTAAACAGACGAACTGTACACTGTTAAATAAGAGAGAGAATATTCAATTTCAATAAAGAATACAACAGCCACATTCTTCCAGATGTACATTACCTGTGGTGTGAATTGACTGTTATGAAGGGACCTGACATGAAGCGAGACAGAACATTTTTTTTGTTGAACTTAAACCCACCTGTGCAGATGGGCTCATCCCCACTCCACTGTCGGTCACCTTGACAACGGCGAATAGTGGCATCCAAGCCACTGGGCAACTTGAATCCCGGCTTGCAGCGCACTTCAAGCAGGGCAGAAAAGGAATGAGTGGGAGAGAGGAGACTAGCCACGGAGTTTTCACTGGGGGGTAGAGGCCACGGACAAGTTCGACCTGAGGAGAAAAAAGATGATCCAGAGGGAGGAGAGAGGAGAGAAAGCGAGAGATAGAGAATTCTCAGAAGGAGCTGGATTGTTCCTCGTATAAGACAAATGAAAACAGTTAGCACTAAACCATTTCAAAATGGCTTTAATGAGGTTGTATTACCAAACTGAATCCATGCACAGTGCCCTCTTTTTACAATACCCAAGCATAATAAAAAGCTTGTGTTCAGCACTCACATAGGCAGCATTTTGAGCCCAGATTTTGTGCATGAGCAAGGCTTTTATTTTATTTTCCAGGAACAACACACACACAGATGTATGTTGGCTCAGCTGCGTATGCACACACAAGCACTTTTAATGGCTGAGCCCACAGTGGTGTTCACAGTGACAACTGAGGGCACACATGCATACAAATAGTTACCTGGAGCCACACAGCTGAGACCACACTGGCCGTCACACAGACACTGGCGTTTGTTGCCACAGTCTCTGTCAGCTTTGCAGGGCCGAGGACACGTCCTCCTCCTCTCCTCTCCCAGAAGTCTCTCCGGACAAGACCCTGTGGTGATACCACACACACTATCACACCATCACAGTAATTGTACCTTTGTTTGCTTCGACTCCGTTCATGGCCCCTTGTAAAAACCGCAAACACTAAGGGCCGTAATTGAGTTTTTGTTTGCCAATTCTGCTTTGTTTTCTGTTTGAAGGAAAGTAAATTCAGTGTGGAAGGCCGGGCAAACATTTGCCACCCAGGTTGCCAGATGAGTAAGTATTTAGATGGCAGGCTTTATTACTCTTTGCCATTCAGCTATCAATCTTGTTTTTTTATAAATAAATGAGAGTGTTGTCTTGCTTCTATGAATAGTGTTAGTTGTGTGTTTCTCTCAGCTGAGTCACTTTGTATAAAAATACACTTTATATTTGAACAGGCTCAGTCTATGGGAGTAATTAAATATATACCCCTCCTAATTTCCCTCACCTCCCCATTTATATCACATCACACATCATTAAACCAAATCCACCACTTACTTTACATTGCAAGCCAACACTGACACACCCTCAATGTCCAGAACATTTGAGGGGGGAGAGTGGGGGAGGAAAAGTGGGCGTTAGATAGGGTTCCCCATTTTTCATTTCTCAGAATGAAAACATGTGTGCTACTGTATTCACTCTGCCCAGCACGCACACATGATCGACCCAGAACAGCACAAAGACAGGATGTACAGTGCATACATGGAGCACCCACGATATTGGAAATCTAAATAATTACTGCATTTCATGAAATATGGACCTGGATTATAGAAGAATTAGGAAAGTGTGTGAAATGTCAAAGATGATCCAACACATATATTTGCATTCACTAAAATATGTAAACCATTTGAACCAACCACGACTATGTACAGCCCATGTACTGTATGGTACTAGCAATCCAGACTAGTCTTTTTTCCTAATTCAGCATAAACATTATTAATTCAACATGCACACATATGTTGCACAGTCCAGACTTCAGTTAGTCCATTGCATTTTAAATGAGTGCAACTGTTTAATTAATTGCACAAGCCCTGGTTACATGATCATCTTTATATTTAAATACAATCTACAGAGCAACAAAGCATGCAGGGGAAAGTCCAGCTGTTCAATAATTAGACTGCCAGGGGACACTCAGTAATGGTCTTTCCTCATTTATTCCCCGTATTTAGTGATAATCGAGCTGTGTTTATTGTGCATGCAGGGTTCAGAGATATCTATCAGGTGTGAGTGATGAATGGAGTCAGAGGGTTTACCTGAGTCCTGCAGGGACACAGTTCCAGTCAGTGCCCACAGGGACAGCAGCAGCAGAGCACAGTCCATCCTTGAAGCCAGGCCTCAGACGATATGAGGGAGGGACGAGCAGACACAGCATTTTTAAGGAAGGGGGGAACAAAGGGGGATGGTGTGGGGGGTGTAGGGGGGGGAGGAGGGGGAGGGGGAGGGGGGGAGAGAGGGCACAGCCCAGGAGCACACATCTGGTTCGTGTTGAGGAGGAAAGATTTGAGGAAAATTCCACTCTGAGAGACCTTTCACCCATTTCTGTTGAGACAGTAGATAAAGGGGATGACATATGCATGGCTGTTGTCCACACACACAATAAACAAACAGGAAATGTTATACAAAGAGGGAAATGATGGACTTGGAACCTGACATCATGAGTGCTCCTCCTATACATCTAACCATGCCGCCTGATGCGACTCATATCTTTCATCCTACTGATTTATTTACACAAACAGACCCTCGTCACAACTAAATACTCTACCTCATCTGCATTGCAGAATTAATCCTGTTTGTGAGCACTTTATCTGCATAAACATACAGTGCATTTTATTTAGAAATGTATAAAGCGCTGTCCAAGTGGAGTAGCATTGCTTTTGTTAGGCAAGAATACTTCTTTGAACTACTTTGCCTATTTAAGGAATGCACACAATGTGAATAAACAGGGAGGATATCAAAACAAGCGGTCTCTGGACATTTCACATCTAGTCTGGTTATCAGGCTTAAGTAAATAAATAAAGTAGTAGTCATCTCCGGAAATTTGACCTCTGTTGCCCATTCTCCCGATCCAGGCTGGGCTAAAATTCAAGTTGCAGGCACACAAAGAGAAGAGAAGAGAAGCATGTAGAGCTACTAAAAAACAACGAACACATGATAAAAGCACATCAGGAAAGCAAAGCAGTAGTGAATGAGAACAATCTTTTATTGGTGTTGGAAAAATCTTGACTACATCCAAATAACCAGCACTGAGTGGGCTGGGCACCATGGACACCACTGATGCAGCAGGGCAGTTGTAGTTCAATTAAGAGTCACTAAAAGATTTATCAACCACATCTGTGAAGATATTAGAGACTAAATCCTGTTGGGAGAGCAAACAATCACTGATTGAGGTGACAAGAGGCTGAAATAAACCAACAAGGAGCATATTGATAGTGTGCATAGTCCATACACCACTGGGGAACAAAAGAGGTCACCAGGAAAAGGTAAAGTAAGTCCGCATGAACATCATGTTCAAGCTATTGAGCCACGTGAAATCCATTGTCAAAGAAACCAAGGTGGCAGTAGTGTCCGAGTAATGTTTGGAGGTCTGAGAAAGGATGCAATTGAGGGTTTTTTCCTTTGAATTGTCTTTCTGAGGAACACTGAAGATGTTTCAAGGTGCAACAGATCATGTTTATCCAAAGAAAGAAAATCATTCAATAATATAGAACAGCAACAACAAGAGGGATAATCATCATAACCATAACAATAATAATAGCAGTAATGGTAACTATTCATCATGGTCATTAAGGGGTTTAAAATCACACTCTATTACTAGTCACCCCTCCCCCAGGAACATAACATAGTGTACCATGCCCCTGTGTAGGTGTTGTGGGTACACAGAGAAGTTTATAGATACAGTAAAAAGTAATAACAGGAGTAAACAGTAAAGAAGGAGCAGTATTGAAAAAAGCACTAAATAGCAACAAGCTTTGTGGATCAACATAGGAAATTTTGGCTTTTATTTCTCCCAGAAATCTGAGAAGTTAACACCATTCCACTCAATGGGGGTATTCAACCCATCTCCTGGAATACATAAAATACACAAAATAGTATAGGCCTATCCAATATACACAACATTTCTCCCCCCATTATAATGCTAATTAAAGTGTGTTCATAAAGTATACAGTAAAGTAACCATGTGCGTTTTACTGGGAAGGTTGATTACTATTTCAGAAAACCTGACAACACTGAGATTTTAACTACTCTATGCACCGTCGAGGTACAAGAGAGACACAGGGACAAAATGTTATGAAGAGTTTGCACATAACTGTAAGGGGATTGGCTGTAAGTGAGAGCAGACAGAAATAGAGCAGTTGGATATAGAAACAGAGGAAAAGAAAATGTCCCAACAATTCAAAGAGAGGATCAAGAGGAGCAGAGTTACCCAGGGCATCACAACAGCAGGCTTTCACCAGCTTAGGTAAGATACGAAAAACACCAGAGCAGATTAAAAGCACTCAACTGGGATAGAGAAAAAGAGTCAAAGTCAAAGATACAAGTATGGACTAGAGAAAGATGTACCAATCGCATAAAGTTAAGCTCAAAGTACAAAGTACTAATATGGTTGGGGAACTCAAAGTCAATTAATAAAAAAAGTTTTTCTATTAAAAAAGAGCTCACAAGACTGGTCAAGACAAGTGTTGAAGGTAGTGCTGGATTGTTTACATGGTGTCTCCCCTTGTCTCTCATGTTGTTTCTCTCTAGCATGCCCATTCCCAGTGACAGAAACATAACAGGAAAAAAATTAAGTGCTTGAGTAAAATCCACAAAAATGTTGAACTATACGATTATAAGATAATTTTTGCTCTCTATATTACAATTGTTACATGCGTCCTCGCCCCTGCTGCTGCATCCTGACTATAATAATCAAGTCGAAAAATACCCATCGATGGCTGACCACCAGTTAAACATCTCCTGACTCATCTATAATAAAAAGATATTTACCATAGCTTTGCCCGGTCTCTATGTCCCCGTCATGTAGAAAATATACAAAATTATTCTCCAAATTTGCTCTCCCTCTAATTTTTCTTAAGTATTATAAAAATATACAATTCTCCAATAACAAAACTCTTAAAAGTCACATCTTTCATCTGTTAAATTATTCTCTCTGTCTTTCACTTTTAAGAGCTGACACCTCAACAAAACAAGACACCTGAGCTTCATTACACAAACCTTCTCCTTGTCTTATACATTCATCATCATAATCATCAGCTTCCTCATCATCATCACCATTTTCTTGACCCCATTCTGTCCATTCTGTCCACCCCAAAAATTCAGAGTCTTAAATTTAATCCAGCTTTAATTCCTCCTCTTCCTGATTCCAGGCCTTTCACGCCTTCATCACTGGTCAGCGAGACGGTTCTCGTATTTACTAAGGATGTTGCGACAACGGCCAAGTTCCTTCCGTATCTCGGCCACTTCCTGTCGGAGAGCGGCGTTCTCTCTCTCCAGGTAGGCAGCGCGCACTGATATTTGGTTCTCCTTGAGACGGCGAGCATCTCTGGAACGCTTTGCTGCTTCATTGTTTTTATACCTTCTGGTCCAGTACTTCTCATCCTAAGAGAGGAAAAACGAAAATAGTACACATTGATTATTTCACCATCTGCCAATTTGATGTAATCAAACTATTTGCCTTGATTGATTAGGGAATCAAGGCATTATTGGGTAGAAGTACTTCAATAAAATAATCAATGAACTGTCAAACTTGTTTCTTAAAAAGGGTGTAGAACACTTGTACAGTACACAACTCCTATCCTGTTATTGGTAATGTGGGTGTTTGGCCATGAATGAGTGTGTTCCTTTTAGAGTTTGGTCTGTGCTGAGTTAATGTCTGAGAGGAAATAAAGTATGCAAACAACCTTCATCCCACTGCTGAAGAAATAACCTTAAGAATAAAAAAGTCTTATTTACTGTGGAATATTTTGTGCTCTTCAATATATTACCAACAGTACGACTCCACCACTTCTAAACTCTTACCTCTTATTAGAGGCCTGTTTTTCTAATTTGTTGCTCTTGTGATTGTTTTTATCCTGCTGATATTTAATGCTTTTAACTGTCAACAAAAGTCAAAAGTCAATTATAAAGCAAAAGTGACAAAGATTTTCTGGTTCCAGCTTCTCAAATGTGAGGATTTGCTGCTTTGCTCTTTGTTATATCATTAATTATGTTTGGGTTTTAGACTGTTGGTCAGACAAAATAAGCAATTTAAAGACATCCCATTAACATAGAATTACTCCATTTATGAGGCCTTTAAATTACCTAATCATGACCTAATATTACTTCTCTCCCATCATGCAAACTGACCACCACTGCTCTGAAGACTTCTCTGCTCAGACTCACCTTCATGTTATCAGGAACCAGGATCTTGCGAGCCTTCTTGATCATTGGCTGTGGCTTGAGCTCCTCTTCACTGAAGGAGCACCTCATGGGGTCAAAGTTCTGCTGGCCAGAGGAGTTGGACATGGTGTCTGAAGCATCCATGTCAAACATTTCCACCCCATCTGGCCCGCTGCCCGTGGGTGTCAGCAGAGGTGGACAGGAGGACGAGGAGGAGGAACAGGGTGACTCACAGGAATCGTTCATACTCGTCTGACTCCCTGAAATTAGAGGGAAGAACAATCTGTTTACATGCTTTTCACTGAACTACATGGTCAAAGCTAAGATAGAGTAAGATGACAGCTAAGACAACAATATAAACACATGCAGTATTACAGCATAATGACCACCAGATGGAAGCAGAGAGCTACTTTCTTAGTGTTATTAACAACAAACAACATTCCTTCGCCCTTCACTGCTTCCAAAGAACTGAGGACGTTTTTTTGTGTCAGCTTTCATGGCCAGTAATGTTTCCAGGGACATGATAATCTTTGAAGAATAGTCTGATAAGATACTCTACAACTACGTATTATTATATAATATCTTATATATATAATTTTTAGCATGCAGAATAACAGATATAATGGAGCTACAGGTTGCTGTATTAAGAAGTACTTGCAAAGATTTGACTTTTCCATAATATATTTTTGTAGTAGATTATAAGATAATCTATTTTTTTTTATATCAAGCACTGCTACTAGATCAAATAATCACTGATATAAAGGATATGATTAATTACACATCTGCAAACTGTCAATAATGGAAAATCATAATTAAAATAGTTATTATCTATCTCTCGTAACAGAAATGTAACTATAGTCCTTATGGAATCTCTTTAAGCTGTCTCCTGCACTCCTCCCACAACCACATGAATTCAATCAGTGCGTGATATTGGCTACTGTTATCAATCAAAACCACAAATTCTAAAACTAAATACCAATAGAGAAATCTAAAAGTGGAAATGTTATGTAACTTTCTACCCCTCCCCTAAAACCAGTTTCTTTAAGTGGGGCCAGTATAGGGTTATAGCTCACCCCACCCCCTTTAAGGCCCAATGCACCTCACTCAACTGAATTTGCCTCCTTGTAAGAGCACAAAACTCCCATTAACTGTTCGTATATCTACATACACAAACAGGGAAATTAACACACTTTATTATATACGTTATATATACTCAAATTGTATAATAGTATGATCCACATGAAGACTTTAAACATGAATATATCACAGTTTCAAACTAACGCTAGGCAGAGTTATGTGTTAGCCTAAACTGTGTCTGACCATTTCAACTTCATTTAATTTGGCATCGCATTACAAACAACTTCAGCCAGCACTCAACGAGGTGCACTCAGTATTTGGAAGAACAGTCAGAAAAACAAAACCACCCCATCTATAATGTGCTTCCACCGGTTATCTGTGGATCTGTAATATGTGAGCAGCTATCATATGAGTAATGGCTGTGTAATGGCCGGGTAATATAACGACATGTTTTCACACCAGGTGCACCTTAAGGTGCAAAGTGTTCCCTCATGACATTCTCATGTTCCACAATGACAGTGCCTCCTTAACACAGCAAAACAAATGAAGGAGTGCTTTGACAGGCAGCCACATGAAGTCAAGCATGTCTCATAATACATAATCAGCAGGTCTAAACATCACTGAAACTTGGTGTGGATACTGTAGGCACCCAAGTGAGGCCAGAAACTAAGCATGTTTTTTTTCTCTGTGTTGGATAAATTTCAAGGATTTCTGCTGCTTAAACCTGACAGCAGGAACTAGGCAGTGCAACCACCTGGTGTACTGTTCTGTTGGATTAAAAACCTGCAAACCCTCAGCTCTCCTGTGGTACAAGGTTGCCTCTCCCTGCTTTTTGGAAAGCAGACTTACTAAGTTGATTTGGTGCATGTTTGTTCACGTGCTTTCAGCCCTCTGAGAACAGGAGGCTTTCACTTTTGAAGAGATGACCTAAAATGTGACCACGCACATTTCAGGACTCATACATCAGCATTCCAAAAAGGCCTGACGCTGTTGTGAGGACAAACAATAGCCCTACTCCTCCTTAGGTACCTAATATAATCACATGTTGTCAGGCGTTGCTCCACTCAATATTCATGAAGCAGCTGTTGGTTGGGCACCTTTATGATACTGCAGAACAGAATATAGCTTCTCTAGTTTCAAGCTTTGGGAGAGTTGATGAGAATTATTCACTGGCTTCAGTAAAATCAGCCACAGAATAATATGAATTAAGACTTAAAAATAGTCCACTTAAGTCTTAATTTCTAAATGAATTTTTTATTTTAATTAGTCTCAAATTTGTTTCATGTAATTATAAGATTTTGTATAAAAGGGACTGTAATCCAAATGCAGGGACAATATAAATGTATTAGAGTTTATAAACATGCACTTTGTTACTGAAGGACTGAATTAAAGCTCCTGCATCAACATCCAAAATTCGAGCTGAACATTATCTTCTGCATATTTATGTACTTAATGTCATTCATTGTTGATCAAATGTTCTGTTTGAAGTCCAGCAGTACTGGGAAACTCTTCCTGTTGCTCTGTCTGTCCCTCCCCCTGTGGGCTCCTCCTCCGTGTGTCTACTGGCCCTGCCTCTAGTTCTCTCACTCCAGTACTTTCAGCCTCGGCACGTGTACTGACGCGTACACATGGCTGTGGCGTGTGAAGTGGGGAGAGATTTAAAGACACGCAACCGCAAACACTCAACACACTTTCCTCCCTCTCTCTCTCTCTCTGTGTACTGTTTTGACCCTGCTGCACATTAATAATTGGCTGAGGCTGAATGCTGATTGTGTTGTACACTGCAGTACATAGATCACATGCCAAACTAAACCAAACCTCCTTGTCATTGCTGTGAGGTTGACTCATCAAATAACTCAAGACTTCTTTCTTTACTGGGCCCCTTTCTCTCAAATTCTCCTCCTCGTTTTTTGTTTTTTTTTCTCCTCACTCCCTTTGCTAACTTTTGACCCTGCACACTGCAACTAAATGAAAAGTACATTTCAGCAGCCATTTCTACGCCCTGTGTTGTCTCTTTCAAGTTGACTTTGCATTCGGAGCCATGTGACTGTATCTCCTGCCTTCAGTTTGTCCCCACAGGTCAGAAAAATGCTTGGTCACCATGGTATTTGTTATAAACTCAAAGGAGAGTCAAAATGCTGAATCACTAGCCCGTGGGAACACTGTAAGCGTGCCACATAACCTTGATTAGATCTCAACCATTATTGAATTGTAGGTTCTACTAGTCTCATATCAGTGGCAGGGTACAATTTGTCTCCTTCAGCCTGTTAACTCTGCAAAGTTTGCAGAACCCTCTTCCATGATACTGCTGTTGTGAGCTGATAATGGACAAAAACCTTGAAGAATTAACTGTCCTCGCTCATTCTTTCACTCTCTGGTTCGACTGTCCGCCTATTAAACTCATGCTCATGCTATTAAAAAATGCTCCGTGTAAGTGAACTCACCATGCAGACAGTCGTTTCCTCCTGCGAGGCTCTGGGGCTGAGCCACCTCCAGACCAATGAGCGATGGGGAAGAAGAGGACGAAGGTGACGAAGATGAAGAACCAGGCGGTGACGAGGGCGGTAGGCACTGGGAGCTCTGGTTGGGAACGGCCGACTGGGAGCTCTGTGAGGGGATCTGGGCTGAGCTGGAGCTGTTGTTGTTATGCATGCTGCCCATTCCATTTTCAGTCAGAAACTCCTCCAAGTCCATGTACTGAAGCTGGAAGAGGCCCCCATCTGCAGGCAGGGTGCGATCCCACAAGAGAGGCCCCAAGAACTGGTTGAAACTTCCTCCTCCATTTCCACTTCCAGCACCACTACCACCATGTTGGACTTTTACAAAACTTGAAACAAAAATGTTTGCACGGCCTCAAAAAACCTTCCAAAGTTTGTGATCCACATTTAAATCGTTAATTCATTATACTTTTTTTAAAAAACAAGGGGGAACCCAAATTATAAATAAAAAAAAAAAAAAAAAAAAACCCGTTTTAAGTTCCTTGCGCAGAACTTCAAACTTGACTTCAAGGAAAAAAAACTTGTTAAAAATTCTCTCTTCCTTTTTTCCCTTTTTTTCCTTTCCCTTTTCCCGTTTGGGTTGGTTTTGGGTTGAGAAAAAGAAAAAGAAAACAAAAAAAAAAAAAAAAAAGTTCTGGGAGTTTTTCAAAAAGTTGGAGTCTTGCGGCAAGGAACTAAAAAAACGGGTTATTTTTTTATTAAAAAAAAAAATGGGGTCTGTTTTAAAAAAAAAAGTATAAAAATGGGATAAAAAAAAAAACAATTTTAAAAAAAAATTGTTGAAAATTCACCCACTTTGGAGGGGGTTTTTGAAAAAAAAGGGCGTTGCAAACCATGGTTTTTTCAGTTGTTTTAAAAAAAAAAAGGTTTTTCAACACAAGTTTGGTTTTTGGTAACCTTTGTTTTTTTCAGAACAAAAAAAAAAAAAAACAAAAAAACAAAACCGCCTAGGGTTTTCAAAACCTTCGGGGGAAAAAAAGTTGGTTTGGGGCCAACCGGGAGGTTAGGTTGTGTCTTTTCAAAATAAAAAATAATGAAAAGCCCGAAAGGGGGCTTTCAGAGGGTTTCTTGCCTTTTGGGAAAAAAAAAAAAAAGGCGAGGCCCCGCCCTTCCTCGCGGCCCCTTTCGCTTTCGCCTTTGAAATTCCCGCGAGGGTTGTTGAGTTTTTTTCAACCGTTGAAAAACTTTGCTCGGTGTTTCCGTTCCAGCTTTTGAGAAGGAAAAGGAAAAAAGAATGAAGAAAGAAAAAGGAGAAAAAAGAGAAGAAGAGAGGAAGAGAAAGGGAAGAAAGGCCCCCAAACGGTTTCGGGGAAACGGTTGGGAACCGGTCCCGGCCACGGCCCAAAACAACCCAGACCGAAAAAAAAGCCCCGTTTTTGGGGGAAGGCCCGTTTGACTTGGGATCCAAACCGGGGATTGCAAAAAAAAAAAAAAAAAAAAAAGTTAAAACCAAGGACCAAAGAAAGGGAGGAAACGACCCCCCTCCTCCCCCCGCGACGGACAGCAGAGGCGCGACCAGCAGAGGAGAGAAACACCAAATACAACTTGTCATCTGGACCAACACAGGCCACTGGCCCTCGTCGCTGAGGTGGTGGTTGATGTGTGTTTTACTGTTCACACTGTTTCGTTGTTTTGTTTTTGACGGGCTGTTTTTGGCTTTTGCAACTGTTTTTTTTTTTTGCGAGGATCTTCTTCCCTTTTTTTTTTCATTGGGCCGGGGACGGATAAAACTCGCGGATATTTACTCTTTAAGCTTTTTTTTATTTGCTGACATTGTCCGTTGTCCGTGCAAGTTCTGCGGATTTCATTGTCAGTCTCAGCGGCCTTTTTTGTATTATTATATGGACAGTGTTGTTACTCAGATGGTCTACTGTCCCTCCCACACGGAGAATAACAGCTTGATCTTGAACAGTTTCAAACAACCTACAACTGCCAACTGGAATATTTGATGTATAAATAATTTCTGGCAAGGAAATAAGGGAACTCTTCACAACTACAGTTTACAGGTAAGAAAATAATGGCTTTTATTTTGTAACTTCAAAGTGCTCAAAGTATAATTTAAACTGGTCATTAATTCTGTGCTCATACTTTGCAATTACATACAATGGTTGCCTTTTATTCTTCATGGACACTTCTCAAAACTATCTCTCTCCCCTATCTCTCTCTCTCTCTCGCTCTTCTCCTCCCCCCCACCCCGGCTGCACGCGTCACACGCACAGTCATCCAGCACACTTGGTCCTATTGGGTAGGGTGCTTCGGGTGTCAGTTTGCCACGGGGCCCCTTCAAGTCCCCAGGTGTCTCTTTTCCGACTCCGTCTGGGTCCAGCGATGTCCAGGCAGCTCACCCAGCTCCGGACCCCCGGACCCAGCTGGCGCAAGCCCACAGTTTGAAGTTGTACTCAGCCTGCTGGCTCCCTAACAGGGGGGCATCTCAGCTCAATGACGGGTCTAAAATCCCCTCCTGCAGCATCCCATGAAGGGAGACCAGCGGGGTTTGAAAAGCCCATGTGATACAAAAGGTGGGAGGAACTCTCTCTCGTTGGGATTGATTAATACTGTGTCACGGTGTTGTTTGTTTATGTGCAGCACCATAGCACGTGACACAGTCTGTGTTCAGTGGGGTGTGCCAATTGACAGGGGAGCATGAATAAAATCATAACCGCGGTCTGTTCCACCCGCTGCTGCTTTTTAATTATTATTATGCAATACAAATATGGTAACAATATTATATAGTAAATATTACATTTCTCACATTTCAATGGCACAATATTTAAAACAAAAGTCACCATCACACAATATTTATGAGGGCTCTTCCACCGCGTGAGTGTTCACCTGGGTTATAATCCCTCCTTCAAATTATAGGGACCCCCAGATTACACTGAGTGAAACGTTGTTGCAGCCTGTTAATCTGTGCACGGCGTGCATCCTGGCTTGCTTACTGTGCCAAAAACGTACCTTCAGCTATTTGTTAGATTTGGTCAGGAGCTTATGTATATGTTATGGCAAACACATTGGGTTTTCGGCTCTTGCTAATGCTGCAATTCAGCTACCATCTGGTCCATCTGTGTGAGTGTTCGTGTTTGTGTGTAGAGAGAGAGAGACAGAATGATAGACTATGCAGAAGTGCATCTTATGGATTACACCTGCACCCAAATATGGAGAGTTGATGTTACACAGAATCAAAGTATCTCAAGAAAACCTTTTGGGCGTACTTGAAAGCTTTTAAAGTCACCCCAAAGTTATTCTTCATTCTGTCTAATAATGGTTCTGCTCTTCTATCTCTGGCAGACAAAGAGAGGCTGGACTTGGATGAGGACCCATGGGAGTGTGCCCCATGGAGGAAACGGCAGTGGAATAGCAACAGCAATAGCAGTAATGGCTTTTGGAGGATGGAGAGGAGGAGGAGGAG